GGAGGGACAAGCCCCCCCCCCCCCCCCCCCTCATAGTTCTCCTTTAAACAGAAGATATTGTAAGTGGGTTGCGTCCTTCAAGCTCTCACCGTATATGTGCTAATATCCCCAAATATAACAATATATATAATAAATGGTAATACATATTTAGCAGAGCAAAATGGGGCCGAAAGGAAATGTTTATTGTTAGTGTTGATATACTGTACACTTTAAATGCTGTACCCGTCCTGTATAAATGTGTATACATTGTATTTATTTTGGGCATTTGTATATTGCTATTTTTTATATATATAAATAAAGTTTTTTTTTAATTCCAAATTCTTTCTGCTTTAATATTTGAGTGCATTCAAAACTTGTTCCTACCCCGGCATTATAGAATGTCCTGCAGGCCACTGACCCTTGGGAGTGATGAATATACCTGCATACTAGGACACCCCAGGTGTGGCTGGGCAGCTCTCAGGACGCTCTTCAAAATTCTGAAGTCATGTGCTGGCACTTACGGTGGCCACCTATGACACACCACGGGCACTTTGGCAACCTTACCGTGGCTACAGGTATGGCCTGAATTGCAATTCCACCCAAAACATCTTGTTTAGTTTTGAACAGAGGGTGGAAGGGTTAGAACCTCTATCAGGATCTTATTGCTTCTTCTGACTCCACTAGGGAGTTCTTTCTCACATCCTGGATCTCTATGATCTCTCCGGTTTGGCCAAATACAAATGTTTTAGGAGAGTGAGGAAGGGTTGGAGCCTCTTTCACATTTTTATTGCTGCCTGTGAGAGTTTTGGAGAGATTTCGTCTTGTGGTCACCAGAAAAAGGAAGTATAGGGAATCATACGGCCAGGTTCTCATCATTCTCCAGCCCTGAATCCAAATGTTTTGGGCCAGACTTACCCTATCAGGACCACTTTAACCAGCTGCATAGAGCACAACGGGATAAGAATAGCAACAACAACAAAAAAGTGAAGGTACTTAGCACGGCATGGTAATGAAGACATTGTTTGTGTGTTCCAGTGTCAAGCTGCCAATCCCGGGGCCTTGAAAGCAATGGCGTCCTGCTTGATTCCTCCAGGTTCCTTCCTGAGATTATTAATAGCTGGACTGCGTTACGTGAGAAATAATTTCCTCTAATTACATCTTTGTGAGCTTTCCCGGTTTCATTTTTTTTAAACATGTGCAAATCACATCAACGCCATCGGAAGACCACATCGGCTGCTATTCAAATGCAACCCGTCATGTTCCACCTTGAAGGGTGACCCCCGAAGTCCCATTAGGTCAGGTGCAGTTTATAACGGCTTGTATTAAAATCAACCTGAGGTTTAGGTATGGTCACTAAGTTATGGTTGGCAGCTCTGACCACCAGCTGACTTGTCCCCACTGTCCACCGAGATGCTGTCTCAGCCATGACATCATTGCTCTCCAGGAGGTCACATGGGCCACTTCTTAGGATGAAGCCAAGTCCGAAGTGTTGTAGCTACACATAAGAGGATTCAGAAGGCGAAGATGTAATCAGGTCGTAGAGTCCAAGATGATTTCTAATGACTTCATCTGCTTCATCCACTGACCTGGACAGACATCCACTGACCTGGACGGACATCCACTGACCTGGACGGACATCTACTGACCTGGACGGACATCCAATGACCTGGACGGACATCTACTGACCTGGACGGACATCCACTGACCTGGACGGACATCCACTGACCTGGACGGACATCCACTGACCTGGACGGACACGCCCTAACCTGG